AAAATTAAGAAAGTTTAACTGGTTACAAGTCTTAAACTACTGGTTCAAATTGAATGAACTAATTTACTATAATAATAATTTACTAATTTGAAATATACCATATCTATACAATGCTTACTTGGTTACTGAAAATTCAGGCTTCTAGTTTTATTGACCACGAAGTTATAGGGGGTCGAAAATGACCTGAATTGCTTCGAGAAAAGATGGTACGACCGTGCCGCTTTTTTGCTCGACTTGGCAGGGGCACTACCGTGTCCCAGATTCGCCACGCAAAGACTTAACATAGGACCAGAATATCCTCGGTTTGTATTTTATAGCTTCCTTGGTACGTTGAGTATAGATAGCAAGTCAAGCATTTTGAACCCAATTTTGTCTTTTACGCAATTATGAAACTCGTCATAATCTAATAAATTGCCAAACCGTTTCTATTTTTGTGTGCTTTTGATTTTTCTTTAATTATTTTTATTAAAGCGGGACTGTACCATGTAGGGTATTTATATTTATTATGATAGACCTTGAGTGGTACGTGTTGACGTATAGCATCATTTATTACATTTATAAAAGTTATCACAAGCCTCTTGGATTGTGCAAGATTGTAATTGTGTTCACCAATCGATGCTACTTAGAGTTTCATTTAGTTTCTCGTAATTGGCTTTGTTAAAAACATATTTAGGTTTAGACGCTTCAGTAAGCGGTGTGATTGAGACGTCTAAAATTGCCAGTTCTAGCGGAAGATGGGCGCCATTGATTTATATAATACACTAGATCAGTAATAACCGCGCCAAAGCGTTGCCACTGCACATATGGCCACAGCCATATACCGAGCTAACGTCAGTTCAGTGTTCAATGTAGGCGTCCTACAGAGTTAAGCCGCGACAAAAAATGCGTAGTGAAAGAATGCTATTCAGTCACAAAAACGTAATAAAACGTGTTTGCAATAAGTAATCTATTTCAACTGGGATACGTGACGTATTTGGAGGAATATAAATAGCTACAATATATAAATCCGTAGTAGCAGAAAGTGCATGTGCCGGTACTAATAGCATTAACATATCAGGCGGTGAGCAGTTATTCAGGCATTCAGCGACTGCGGGAATCGCACATAACTCGTTACGCACTAAGATCATGACACCGCCTCCTATCTTTTTATCGCATGATAATAAGTCTCCATCATAACGATCGTCACATAATTCTCTGTCAAAAATCCCGCTATGTGGTTGCATAGCGGGATTTTTTTTTGTTTCAGTTATTATAATTATATCATAATAATTTCTTAAAATCCGTTGTCTTAATTGCAAACATTTCGTTCTCAGCCTTTGATAATATATTTTTAGATCATTACTTTTATTTAACGCGACCATAATACAATTCTACCATTTGTTTACAACTTATAGTATAAAAGTTATTATATAACTGAGAAATATTACTAATATATATAATTGTTGTATAAAATGGAGGGGATGAAATATAAAAACACAAATTACAATATTGTATGCAAAAGTGATGTTGATAACATGTTGACATAAAAAAGCGATGAATAGTTTTGTGTCTAATGACATAAGTATCGAACAAGTTTAACGTATTATGTGTTCATCTTTTGTAAACCATATAAACATATACGCGTTAATATTAAAGTTTCCTACTAATGTTAATAGAATGAATAAAATGTGTAGGTAAATAGTTCCATATTGAGTGTTTAAAGAATGCATGATTATTAACTATTTGAAGGTATTGTGAGAAATTATTTCTACGCTCCGGCAATAATGTTCTTTTAGCGGTGATGAATATGAATACAATGAAGATTAAAATGAGATATCAGTCGATCACTATAAACATGTGCGATAATAATTTTAATGGTAACGTATAAATATAGAATGTCATCAAAAACAAAACTTGTAAAAAAAACCAAGTCTCGCAACTCAGTTCTTCTACCGTAAAAAGTTGTGAGATCCATGTAATAATACCAAGTCGGTTAATTTATTCAGTCCCTACTTAAGGGTCCTTCTGTTTTAAGTTATTACGTAATTAGGTAACCTAACAACATTTTTATAGAGACCATGTTAAAAATCTTTTATGTTTTAAATACATAGATTGATTTGGCCATCGCATGAAAACAAAAATTTTTAACATTGATATGGTCACTATAAAATGGTGTTAGATTAGGTAATTACGTAATAACTTACAGAATACTATATAATACAATAAACAGAAGGACCCTTAAGTAGAGACTGAATAAATTAACCGACTTGGTATTACATGGATCTCACAACTTTTTACGGTAGAAGAACTGAGTTGCGAGACTTGGTTTTTTTACAAGTTATGTTTTTGATGGCATCTCATTTCTTTTTGTAGATAAGATAGTCCTACTTTTTTACCTTTCTGGTACCTTCTACTTCTTGAATACCAACAACGTACCTATCTACACCTATTATACATATACAAGTACACTGATTCATTCACTGCAAAAGTAACTTTGTAAGTCTATATATTTATAAGGAATTACAAAGTTATTTATGCAGTTGGTGTATCTAGAAAATTGGACGGAAATTAAAAATATTTTAGTTTTTCCTTAGTTTATACACTAAACACTAATTTTATTCTAAATTTGAAGCTAGCTTCTATGTCTTCTAGAAGTGCCTTAGAGTTTTGATGATCAGTCAGTCAGTGAGTGACAAAATTAAGAAACTTTGACTAGTTATAATTCTTAAACTACTGGTTCAAATTGAATGAAATTTGAAATATACCATGTTTATACAATGCCTACTCGGTTACTGAAACGTAACGTTAAATTCAGGCTTCTAGTTTTATCCATTACATAGTTTTATAGGCGGTCGAAAATGGCCTGATTTGCTTCGAGAAAAGTATGGTACGGTCGTGCCGCTTTTTTGCTCGACTTGGCGGGGGCACTGCCGTGCCCCCAGATATGATGTTGATTATTAATATATAAAAAAACGTTTGCTTATGAAACGCACATATTAAAAAAAATTATATAATTTGATCTTCATCTCTGGGGTATCCCAATAATATTTGGAAGAAAAACAAAGAACCCGACCGAATGATAATTTTCTTGCACTCGCTTAAAGTCAGGAAGATGGTCAGCAAAATGTAGCTTATCACCTATGAGGAAATTCGAGGATATTTGGGTACTGGTATGAGCCAAATAAAAAGTAAAAATTACATTAACATAACGTTAGATGTTAGACAACTTTGTTGCCCTCATGAACTACCCCAGAACAATAACGGGCTCGAGTTGTTGATTAGTGTTAAAAATGGTGGTAAAGTATGATCACGGACTTCAAATGATGTATATGACATTGTGACAGGAGATGAAACTTGGATATTATATTGGTATATTCCGATAAGAAAATAAGAGTTCTGGGTGTTCTAAGGCGACCGCAAACCACAAAAATTGAGGCAGGCCAGATGCGTGGGCAATAAAAATTATTGCGTTTTTTTCTCACAGACAAGTCTGTCTGCACGACCCCACTTGATGACCAAAAGACAGTTAATGCAGAGCGGTGCAGCACAATTTGTTTGCCAAGTTTCTTTGAAAAAGTTAGGAATAACGACAAAGATCAAGTCGCATCACTATGACAATGCTTCGGCGCACAAAGTTATTTTCATATTCGGCTTCTGAAAAGGTGGATCTCGTAGCAACCTATCCCTTTCAAAGATTTGATAAGAGGTTTGACATTTACGGAGGCAGAACGTGATAGCCTGCAACTGGCACGTCAAAAACAAATCCTCAAACTAATGGACCTCATAGTTATAAAAAACGGTATGAACGAATGAAAATGTGCTTAAAATGTGATGGAGAATATTTTGAAAGGCAAGAGATTTATTAGTTTACATATGAATTGTTTTATTTATGAGTAATTCAAAACTTTCAGTGTATAAAAATTGGAAGAAAAAATAATACAATTCAACTTACGAATGTTTGATATCGGATATCGGAGAGTAGTTTCTGTCAATACAGTAAATCTTTCTTAATTTTTGTTTATAACATAACCGTGCTTTGTAAAGTACAAAGTAGGTTATGTTAAAAATAAAAGTTTTATCAACACAAGTCTTAGAACAAGTCGTAAAATACATTTCATTACATTAAGGCTAATATTCGCCTATTTGCTTCATCCACAGAAGCAAGGGCGCCGCTGAGACGACGATCGATCTGCTCTTTCGTTTTACTTTTTCAGGGTGACTTCTCTCCCTTCATTCATATATTAAATCCCGGTGTTTTATAAACGAATTTATTTAAAATGCTGGTTTTGATATTACGTTTTCACTCAACGAAAAGCTATACAATCATATCATTCAGCTAAATGGTATTTAAAGCCTTTGAAATGTTTCCTCATTAATACTCGTTCATTTAAAAAAATCTTGTCAAAAAACATTTTTAACTAACTACTATTTAATAACTATTAATAGTTTATAAACACACGTATTATACACTAGCTCTTCCACGCGACTTCGCGCGTGTAAAAGTAAACCCTAATTATTTTTCTAAAATAAAAGTTATTTGTCAATAAGTACCATATACCATCCTAATTTAATGACCGTACGCAAAAATACGATAATTTCTATGTTGATAAACTATTTTCAAAAATTACCTGATTTTTTATAAGAAAAGCGCGTTTATTCTGATGGATGGTGAACTAATATTTTTATTGAGAAAATACAGATAAAGCTTCGGCTTTCACTCTCAGAAAGCAGAGCCTAGTAAGAGTTGATTTGGTGAAAAAAGAAAAGCACCGATTACAAAAATATATGGTCGAGTGAGAAAATGACCCAATATTTAGCAGGTGGTTTGCTCGTAACCATTCTGATGTATATAAAACACGGTGTAAAGTATGTGAAACATCAATAACTGCCGAAAACAAGTTCTAGTGAAACACTCGGAAGGTAAAGAACACTTGAAATATTTATCTGTAATACGTGGTTCCAAATCAGTTACGTCTTATTTTAGAAGTACCAGTAGTTCGTTGTCGGAAACAAACAAAAAAATGGCTACTGTTGCAGAGATCAAGCTGGCTGCTTATTTGGCCGAACATAACATAGACTTTAACGCTGCAGATCATTTGGGTAAACTGCTTAAGGAATGTTTCATCGATTCAAAGTTAGCAAAAGAAATCAATCTAACTAGAAAAAAAAAGTGCAAAAATAATATGCAATGTTATTGCTCCCAGTCATAAAACAGTTATGGTAGCTACGCTCACAAATACAAATTTTAGCAACATGACCGATGAATCCACTGACATTTGCACCAACAAAACTTCATATGTAGTCGTCAGATGCTATGATCAAACGGAAGGCAGAATTAAATTAAAAAAAATTAAGAAATTTATAATAGTCTATAGAAAAATTAACTAATGGTGGATCGCTATTAGGGCGATGGTAGCCGAGTGGATAAGACCGCGCTCACATACGTGGATTTGAAAGATCAATCCCAGGCACGCACCTCTGGATTTACGAAATCTAAGTGCGCATTTATACCACTGCCTCGGCAGTGAGGCAAACATCGTGAGAAACGTGCAAATTTAAAATATCTAGATGTGTAACCATATTCCAATTTGTCTGGTTACCCTGCCCAAGGGTAACGAAGGTCAGATGCCAATCGCTTCAATGTAATAACCAGATTGGCCTAATCCTGGAACACCAAGTCGTACCATGGTTGCTATATGTGTTCAAATCAAAATCGACTAAATTTTTCAGAAAATCTGAAGAAATAAATAAATAAATATTGCTGACGTAATTACCAGATCCCCCCATACCCTATATCATGAAAAATAAGCTGATCAAAGAACTTTAGTGCTTACGTAATACTTGAATGGCCCCTTGTCTACTAAGTAAACCAGTCATCGCACCTTTTAATCGGGGTGTTAGTGGAATATTTTGACCTAGAAATTATTCGTCTTGAACGGCATCTAAGGTACTAAAATAGTATTATAATAAGTGTAACAACACGAATATTTATGACGATTATATATATTGCGACGTGTTCATTGTTAAATGTTCACATGCGGATGTACGAAAAAATAGTTTCTTTCGGGAAAAACTATAAAGCATTCTTAAAATTATTAAGAAGGTTTTATTGGGTAGTTTGCGAGAATAATACACGCAATATTAATAAGGACTACAGAAGGAATACAGTAAGGACAGAAAATATTTCCATCTAAATTTTATTCTACGTAAAATAGGCAATAACAGGTTGCATAGATTTATTATTACCTGCATGAAGATAAAATCACTTATAGGCGGTTGTCCTTAAGTCTTTTTCAATGAACCTGTATTAAGACTACCAAACTAAGAATTTCTTATGTGTTCGTGAGTGGTAGCGTAAAAATATCCACTACACCATAACATCCCATGGGTCGTGGACAAAAGAAAACAAATGGAAATGGGCAGCAGCATCTTAGCTCTAGTAAGTCCAGAATAAAAAACAAATTCAAACATATTTCACTATTGCATTCGTTTTGCCATTATTTCCGCACAAAACCAAAATTTGCTAACCCTATCCGCCTCGTGGGATGAGCCAGACGGGGCGAGTTATGATAACAATCGTCAAAGAGCTCCTAAATTTAGCGTCGACGTGCAAAGTTATTAGTACAGTAATTGAATAAAACTCTCGCGTCCTTGAGGGTTTATTTTGGGAATCATTTTCATAACATTAAACAAATGTTTGAATAAAAAAGTCTAGCCCAATTAGAATGCATTTCAAATATAATCGCAATTTTAAAGTAGTAAGATAGTGGATGTTTGTAATATGAAATCAACGTTTGCAATAACGCGCTGGTCACAAAATGTTTTTAATACGTAGTTTAGAATTTACGAAAAATCGGGTAGGTGGAGATAAGGATGAAATACGATTAGCTATTGATTTATAATTCGAAAAACAACATGTTCCAATAGTAACTGCCTAATCATTATATAAAAGTTTAATAGAAATTGTAAAATACTTTTATTTTGATAACATCTTCAGAAAAGCCTAACTTCAAATAAAACTGGTGACCCAGGTTTTGCTTTACAAACACTCCGTATTATATAGACTTTATATAAATATGTATTAGGCACAGGAAATTATATTCACTTTATCAATATATTTTTATGTGATAGAATTTTTACATTAAAATATATAAAACTCTGATCTTAGGTGAGACGTAGGTTTAAGCACAGAATAAATAATAGTACTACGTAGTTTAAGTCAGAAATCACATCACATATTTAGCAAAAACATTGAATGAAATGAAAACATTTGAAGTTAGATTTAACAAGAGAAATATTAGAGGATAATCAATAGTCACTCAGCACGCGGGGTCATACTCGGAGCGCCGCCACCCCGGCCGTTGACCGTATGGGTGCGCGACAATTTCGACCTTGGATCAAGATGTCTCAATACTTTGATTTGCATCGTGATGCTGAGTCACCTTGTTTTCAGGCTATTACGTTACGCACGTAAACCACCAAGATTACCAAAGCACGCAGACATTACGCTGGTTATATGTAACGGTGCGAATGGTCACGCCATTTGCTTTACAAGCGAATAGCAAACAACAAACAACGGGAGTGATTCCTCGTGCTAAACATGTGGGAAGGTTGTACGGACCGCACGGGACGAAGGTTCGGAAGCGGTGGTTGTGCCGGTTGCGGGGGCGCGGTGCGGGCTGGTCGCGCCTCACGATCTTGCCGAGCAGGCCGAGCAGCGAGCGGCTCAGCGGGCGCGGGGGCACGCGCGCCTCGCCGCCGTCCACGCCAAGCACCTCCAGCTCCACGGCGTCGGAGCGCGCGCACATCCGCGCCGCTACCGCGCCATGCCGCGCCCCGGCCAGCCCGCGAGCGCGCTCCGCCACGGTGCCACACGCGCGCTACGGCCCGCCGCGGGGCCGATACTCGCGTCTCGCGCACGGTACACACTAGCGCCGCACCGTACGGCACGGCGGACACGACGGCGCGCGCATCACTACTACGAGTACGACGATGACGTTGTATTGTATCTCCACTGCTCTGTATTTACTGTTACCTACGTCAAACTTCACGCGGCTTATCTTTATCTCACAAATGAAACACAATACACTATCCACACCTCTGTCTATAATATACACATATTTAAAAAAATCACTGAAAAGCACATTCTTGTATAATGGGAGAAAACCTCCAGCGGACTGATGTAGCCTCACGTTTAATTTTTACTTCACACAGACTATATTGTAGATGCGCAGTAAGCTCTCCCTAAATACACTGTTATGGAATCATTCATAAATAGGAAAATATATTATTTCGTTTAAAATATAATCGGAACTAAGCTTTAAACATTATTTAGGAATTGAATTAACGAATTAGTAACTTCCTCCACGTTGGCATAGCAAGATACGAACACCTTATATTAACGATATTTTTATTGTAAATTAATTGAATTAAAAATCACACTAATTGTAATATAAGGCCCTTATGACATTATCATATTTCATTTTTTCCTTCGCTAAAAATATTGTGCCAGCGAGAATCAATAAAATCTTTGAAGGCGTTTTTAACTGCCTCATCGGTATTAAAGATTTTCCTTGCAATAAAATTGTCTAAATTTCGGAGAAAAGATGTACGAAAATCTGTTGGAGAAACTTCCAGGGGGAATGAAGAGTGATGGTTAGAGACTTTCCAATCGCAGCTCCTCTAGGGTATGTTCCGAAATACAACGCAGTGTACTGTCCAATGCAAATGACGTATCATTTGACACTTTATTGTACTAGCGTGCCGCCGCCATATTGTGTCGGATATCCGGCCATAATAAAACAATTTTTAATTGTGTGTTTGCCGAATGAAGCATGCCAGAATTTGTTTCTATTTATTCAAATACAAAAAAAATTATAGAATAATTTATGGCATATCCATTAGGAGGATATAATGATTTTTGAAGCACAAAATGACAAAATAATCGCCAACACTTTTCCAAATGGCGTAAAAGTATGACGTCATATACTGTCCAATGTTTTGGAACGAATCACCAGTATAGCGTCGATTCATGACGTCATTTGCATTGGACAGTACACTGCGTTGTATTTCGGAACATACCCCTAATTTAGCAATCGTCTGTTATGCAGTGTTGAGGCCTAGCTTTGTCCTGAAGCAGCAGTTGACTATCTAGAGCAACTGATCAGTCTCTTTTTTTTAACGGCCAGATCTTGGGAAGCTGTAATGGATGACACCAGCACTGGTACACCAGACACTTACTCAGTACCTTTTTCTGAGTCAACTTTCGCTTTGGGCTGGATTTGACCGATTCTCCTGGGTTCAAACATTGTGATGAGAGTTTCAGATTATTGTAAGGATCCATTTTTCATCACAAGTAACGATACGATTCAAAATCCCCTCTGATATCTATCGTATCAATCAACTAGGTTTGTGAAATACAAACCAACTAGCAAGAGGTGTTAGTAAGAGTGGTGTTTGCTAGTAAACGCTTGTCACATTTAGCTCGAAACTAGTTATATAAAAACGCGGCAATGTAATTATTATTAGATATACATGGTTATTTTGCAATAACCAGCCAAATTCGCATAGAAGGTTCAGAATAAGTAATATAGGCAAATTGTGAAGAAAATTATTAAAAAAAAATCTCAAACATTTTGTACTTTATTTGAACTGATTTTACTGCGCACACACACATTCGTACGGGCCGATCGGTAGGCAAAAACTGCAATAACGGTATATCATAAGTATATAAGTTTAAAATTTGGTTACTCTTTGAAAAATAACCCTGCATAAAATTAACCTGAATATTTAGACAACAAACGTTGATGAACCTAATAAATGCACCTCGACAATAGACACAATCTTAAGTATAAGAACTAGTTTCATCAGTCGGTTGTGAGACCATAAAAGAATTAAACGAAATCTTTCTTGAATTTTTGCTACCCTCGGAACTACATGTAAGACGGATTTAATTGGTTTTTATAATTTAAAGTACACTGAAGAAAATTGATTAGTTTATTTCTTCTTCATCATTACAGCCCTTCTGAAGTAGATTGCCACACACAGACATTCCTCGAGATACGAAAGCTAACGCTACAGCTACGAAACACTGTCCTGAACCGCTTACATTCTTGGACTTCCTCTGTTGTTTTACACTACGGCTGTTTCGTTGATGGCCTAGTGGTCGTAAACTCACAGTAAACAACAGCTGATCATGGGGTCCCAGGTACGAGTTCCGAGATCGGGGCAAAATCAATTATGGGGTTTTTCAATCACGAAATTCCCAAAAGCAGTCCGGAGTCAAAAAGTAGGCGGATTCCACTCCCGTACCTCGGAAGGCACGTAAAGCCGTTGGGCCTGCGCCTGATCTCTCCGAGCGTGTCGAATTACCCTCCCATAGAACTATGAGAGTAAGAGATTAAAGACTGCACCTGTGATTGCACATACATGTGTTTGGCGAATACACATTTGGCCATCATCACCACAATCGGTGTGCAGCTATCCATAGATTCGTGTATTTAGATTCGATTGGCGAGGTAACGGCGACTGATGCGATATATTTTTTAAGTGTGTACAATCATTACTTATATCATGTCCGTCGCAAAAAAAATAGTAAAGGGGGGGGGGGTAATGTTAAGCATTCACCCTAAGAAGCCAAAGTTATTATCTTTGAAGGTGGCTTGGAGATTCCACTACCTTCCGTAGGACGATATGAAGTAGCGGTTGCAGCATGTTCCTGATAAAAACTTAAAATAATAAAAAACTGCATCCCAACCGATCTTCACCGTGGCAACTGTGAGGTCTTTGGACTTAGGTACACTCTAATAATGATGATGTCAGATCACAGACTTTATTTGTTTAGATTTGTTAATCAAATTTTAAAGTCATTTGTATTTTTAAGAATAAAAAAGTAATGATTCTAAATTACGTTCCTCCTTTTGGTACAATTGGATGAATAATGTTAATTGAATTCATCAATTTCCTCACCAGCCATTGTCACACAAACACACCTGCTATGCTCGATATTTTCACTACAAATAAAGAGGTGATGAACGACAGTGTGGATGCGCGCACAAACATTACTTTGATGTGTGTCCGAAAAACTGATAAACTTCAGAATGTCGCCATCTATAGGCAAACATTGGTGAATATTAAAACTTGCCATAGAAGTCTTTAGCAAATGTACACAAATTCGCGAAACTACACAATCGCGTGTGCCTGGTGTATATGTACGAATGTCAAGAGTGGGTTTGTGCAGATGGCTAGTTTCCGTTGACACTGACCGGCGAGACCGAAGTTCGGTCTGGAGGACACTAGTACTAGAGGAGTACCTCACTAAACTTCTCTTACCGGTACGTGGTATCCAACCGAGAGCCTGTCAGTCCTGTCGAGTAATAAAGGTGTCCCAATGCGACTTCAGCGTATCGATCCGTTGGCATTTATGTCGCTGGATACGAATCGGCTATAGATTGAAAACGTAGCCCGTTAAATAAATTTAACAAAGTTACTTTTTGCTTCATTTTTATAACTAGTTTTATTGTAGTTTTAATCAACAACAAAATTATAATACACTTCGAATGATTTTCGGTTAGCGTAAAGCGTAGTAATCTCACTGATAATCTGCGTGGGGAACGACGTCCTTCAATGGCAGTAGCTGTGCGGCGCATGACAGAAGATAAGAGCATAACCATAACACATAATACATACATACATAAACACTCACGCCTGTCACCCAGAGGGGTAGGCAGAGACTACAGACTTCCATTTGGCACGATCCTGACACACCTCTCTCGCCTCCTTCACATCCATACACCTACGCATACATGCTCGTCGGTTAAGGGTACTCCTAATTTGGCCCGTTTTCAATAAATCGCCAATTTGGTCGATAAATTTTCGCCTAGGACGTCCCTTTCCGACTCTGCCATTCACTTCTGCAACATAAATTTTCTTTGTCACTCTTTCCTCATTCATTATTTCCACATGACCAAACCACCGAAGCATTCCTTTCTTAATCCTGGTCACAACATCATCTTGCAAACCACACTCTTCTCTTATTACACAATTTCTTACCCTGTCGTCCATAACACATCAAAGCAAATAACCTTACATGATTATTTAAGATGCGTGTTTGAGCTAAATGCCATGTTAGTCGTTATTTGTGAGGTTTTTAGGAGTTTTTAGGACTTGTTATTAAAAATACATTATCAATTAATTAAAAAATCTATTAAATTTGTACATAATCTCGATTCCATAATAGCCAATTCCATTTTTTAAAAGAAGTAAATACTTGATGAACCTTCCCACAACTAAACCACAGAAATGCGAAATAATTGAATACTAAAAATAGAAAAGGGTTTAAGTGCCACAAACACCATTTTAGTTTTCTCCATTGCCCTAAAATATGCAATAAGTGCCTAGTTGCTATTTAACTTACACATAAATCCACCTGAACAGAGCGAGGGGTACAAAACGCAGGGAGCGCAATTCTTTAAAAGGATCTAAGTTCCAAATGCATTGAGATGCCAGTGATATACGAATGGCGACACTTACACCTTGTGTTGTTGCAAGTGGGGGCAAAAACAAAGGCGAAAAAAGGGTGAAAACAGTGAGCAAGTTGCGAAAAAAGCATTAAAGGATGCTGGAAAAGAGTATCCCACATCTCGTGGAAAGCTAACTCCGAGATGACAGTGAATTCAAACGGCAAAATGCGCGGCCTGGAAAGCTAAGGATGTGCACTGTGCAGTATTATTATCGTGACGCATATTTGTACTCAAAATATTTTTATAGATACTATAGGTACCTACTTGCTACCTATTCATTTAAAACGATTCATTCGGTTCGGTTTAAATGAAATAAGTTAATAAATAAAGTACTAATACGCAAACTATAATGAAATATATACTAAAATATTTGCCTAAAAGTTTAATTTCTCAATATATTAATAATAATAA